ATTCCTCCACTGGAATTTGTATGAAAACATTTACATGGCACAACCCAAAAGTTTTGTCGTGGAGTCAAAAGAACGTATGGGATGTCGTCTGTAGAAATTCATTTATGGATTAAAACAAGTCTCTAGACAGTAGTATTTGAAGTTGATGAAACAAAGAAAAAGTTTGGGTTTTAAAGAAAATAAGAATGCCAATAACGTTTTTGCGAAGTTCAAGAATGGAAAATTCTTTTTTCACATCCTGTGTATAGATGATATTCTACCCACTAGTAGTGATGTTAATCTGTCATTGGAGAAGAAGTTCTTGTCCTCAAGTTTTAATATGAATAATCTTGGTGAAGAGTCACTGGTTCTAAGAATTAAAATTCACCGAGATAGAAGAAAATGGGGTATTAGGACTATCTCAAAGGCATACTTAGAAAAGATTCTAAAGAAATAAAGTATGCATGTAAGTAAACCTATGCGTGCTCCTATAGTCAAGGATAATTGTTTTGGGAACTTTCAGTGTTTCAGGAACCGATATGAGATCGATCAAATGAACATGATTTCATATGCTTCAGCTGTTGGAAGCTTGATGAGTGTACAAGTAAAAGTAAGAACTTACCCTGACGTAGTTTACATATCCGGGATATTTTGGCAGAAGTCCAGTTCAGATATAGATCACTAGAATGGAGTTAAGAATATCTTACAATTTTGCAAAGTATCGTAGGCCTCATGCTAATTAAGAAAGAACAAGTACTCTCAAATAGTTGTGGGTACAAGTGTTAATTTTTGGCGAGATGTGTAGTAAAATCCACAGTAGTTGTTAACACTCACAGTTAGAGTATTATTGTGAAAAGGCTCTAAAAAAGAGTTGTGGTGTCATCAATTAGACATACCATAGCATAGCTTGTCATGAGGCTTCAGGAACTGGTAAAAGTGGTTAAGGGAATATGTATCCGGATTTAACAATGGTAGTCAACAGTAATAACCATTTTAAGTAGTTAACTCCTAAGACAACATGCCAAATGTGCTGTCAAACATATTGACATTAAGTTATATGTTGTAATGGAGAAAATCCAGAATCATTTTGAAAGCATTGAGCATATGAGTACTAAGCAAGTACTTGTGGATCCGCTTACCAAAGGCTAACCACCCAGTGCGTTCAGAGAACACACAGTCGACATGGGTTTACGGAAAAACCTATGATTTCTGGATACTAAAGGCCTAGTTGAGAATCTGTTTCAAAACAGAAAGGTGCATTGTAGTTGTTAAATCTAATGGCAACTGACAGTGACGATGAGGCACGCTCTATGTACTGATCTGTGATGAAATGGGAAAAAGATAAAGTAAGTTGAGTTTAAGTCATAAGGTAAGATGAAGGGGGAGAATGTTATGTTGATCTTCACCGAGTTGACCCAACGACCAATGGAGCCCTTGATCTGCGCCCTGATCGGGGGCGCTCAGCCGTACTCCTGGCTGATGGGTCCCCGTCGTGAAGCACTATAAATAGGAGGTGGTGGTTGGGACTCAAAATACGAGGTTGACCGCTGCCGCCAGCGCCCCACCGACGACCTAACACTAGATCGATCTTGAGGGTGTGCTGTGAGCAACGGGAAGCGCCATCGCAGTCGCCGCCGCCACTGACCACGCCTCGGTGGCTGCTTCCTCTGCTCCGAGCATCGCTGCGGCACGATGGCCATGATATCGGTCCGGCGAGGTACATCACCGAAGTTTTCTATCTAAGCCAAGAATTTACTCACTGAATGAAGACCTAGATGTTCTGTTTATCCATCAAAGAGATGTGCGCTTGTCGTTTTACGATGGATCGGGGTATGCCCTGCTGGACGATGGATCAGCGTCCCTATCCATCCGCCCACGCACACCGGAGGTCACGACACATGCTAGCTAGGCGACGCCGTGTTGGCTGCCTGTGTACCCGGCGCATGCAGCACAATCGGCGGCAAGCACAGCTCCGGACTCCCAAGCGCAACGTCTCTGATCGGTTTCGGCTCCGATTATTCTTTTATACGCTACGGTGAGTAGTCGTTTTTTTTTTTTTTCTTACTCGTCACTGAAATGAAACTGCTATTTTTTTTTTGAGTTCTATCGAATCCGGCCGGCTCCTTCACACACTGTAGCTAAAAGATCGAAATCATACTAAACGGGGTCTGAGTATTTATTAGTATGGACTAATCGCCATGGTTGTGTCTCGGCTGCCAGCGGGAGCCGTATGTACTGTAGGACCGAGTGAGTGCACGGGCCACTACTGCCCACTGTCCTTCCTTTCCGCTGTACCGGCACGTACGTACGGTCGTTTCCCCGTTGCTACTAGCTACTAGAGCCCGATCGAGGCCAGCATGCTGTCATGCTTACTACTCTACTACACCGTAGCCCACATAGGCACACTGGCCACACCCACACGTGAAGACAAGATGAACAACGGGGGCGAACGAACGACGAGCGGCGATGAGATGAGCGTCGCGTAGCGTGCATTGCATGTGCGACCGTTGCTGTCGATCGTTTCGTTACCAAACTTGCGTCACGTCAGGATTTGGTGCGGTGTGGCCCTCCGCCTCCGACTCCGACTCCGATGCGGATGACGATACACCTGCCTGAATTGTAAATTATTATCTTTAAGCTAGGTCTAAACATGATATGATTAAAAACCGGAAGGCTACTCTGCTTTCGTTTTATTGTAGCACAAAGCCACAACCGCACATATTTGTATGTAGTATACGTTGGGATAAACCTACACTAACTTAATTCGCTAGTGATAGCAGGAGCAAATTAAACATATTGAAAAGAGGACAAATTTTAGTAAAAGTTGGCATCATGAACCAAAGAGACCAAATTTAACGCGCGCTAAAACCTCTAAATCATGGTAAAACCCATGGAAAGATACCATCCAGATGTTCTTACGTTGTGAGCTTTGTAGAATTATAACAAGTTCATCTCTAGATAGGCATCCGTAGATCAAGAATTACAAATCATAGACAAGAATTACAAATCATATGCATAAACGAATAGCCAAAGGATTATTCAAGCATCACATAATTGACCACAGGAAAAATGCCTTATGAGTACCAGCGAAACTGAAACGACAAACAAAACAAAGAAAAAGTCTGGAGAGGAGGAGGGGACCGGGCACAAAAGATGCCAAATGCGATGCAGCTTGGCTTCACGCTCGCATTTGTCTGCCTTCCTCTTCCCTGAAATGCGTACTACGTACGTTACGAAAACTAATCTGTGGTTTTCCAAGTTGCAAAGCGCCGAGAATCTTATATCTAGATATCTATCTATCTGATATTTTGTTCCGCTGCCAAGTAGGCCAGCTCCAGATTCCCAGCTAGATTTGCTACGATCGCCTGTCACCTAACTTTTTTTTTTATTTGGAATCGGATCCTGTCCTTTTTATTACTACTAGTCCTGTCGCCATTTCTTTTTGTGGCGAAGCACACATTGGCTGCGAAAGCTGCATCTCCGTTTTTTTTCTCTTTGCTACTGTAGTTAATCTTTTCATCTATTCTAATCTCACCAGCAGCGGCGGACGCGACGCGACAGCCAGAAGTGGCAACTGGCAAGTGCTCTCCGGAGCTGGTGACTCGTGACCTCAGGGCGGGGCCCGGCAGTCAGGTCAGCGGATCTTTGGAGCGCCAACGACAAACAGGAGACAGGGACGCAGCGGGATAAGCTGATAAGGCAACTAGAAAATGGGCGTCCTATCATCATCGTTAATTAAAAAATAAAAAGAAGTGGGCTCGGTCTCTGGGATGCTTGCCAGTGTAAGGGAACGTGTGGCTCGGGTGCGAAGACGACGTGGATGACGAAGCGGCGGCCGCGAGCCCGGCAGGGACGCCGCCGGCAATCGGCGCGGCCACGGTCAGCCGCCTCTGCCGGCCTGCGGTGCGGAGATCGCCGTCGCGGGAGCGTTTTGTCATGACGTGTGCCTACGTGCGGCGCGTGCTCTCGCGTCGTGTGTTGAGGGGGGCGTTTTGTCATGACGTTATGTATCGAGACCGCAAATCTAACAGCAGGCCGAATTGTTGAACGCGGCCCTGAGCGAGGTACTGATCAGTTGTCTGGCCCGACTCGTGTTGACGGGCCGGATGTACGGCTACGAAGATGGGCAGGCAATTGTTTTTGGTCAGCCAATTTGGATCGCGGATCCCTAGACCGGCCCGCTCCACGCACCCCGTATCGCCTCTCGCGCCCGCCATGAGAGGAGAGAGATCCGGTTCGTGCTCGGTGCCTCGGTGGTCGGTGCCGTGGCTCGCCGCATCCGCATTCCGCATCAGTCTGTCCTCAGGCGTCATGTGCATAGTAGTACGTCGTAGTACAAAAGAATCTCAAATTTGTGAAGACTGAAGAACGTCAAGAATTCAAGTTGCAAGTTTGTACTTGTTCAAGATACTCAATGAACGTCGCAATTTAGTTACACTTCGTCGTGTGTAACGGCTAATGTTTCTTACTGAGAATACGCAAAAAGATTACGTATCTTTGTATATAACGGTTGTTACATAGTAATTAGGCGGATGATACTCGAACTACAAGCAAGGTCTCATTTGACAGCTTCACTTTATCGGTGAAGCTTTATTATTTTTTGTTCCATCCCCATATGTACTTTTTTTATTGGTGAAGCCCTTATTTTTGGTTCCACTCTCCACATATTCTTTGTGAGAGCACGAATTAAGACGTTTCTTGGGTGAAGCGATTTTATTTTACTGCGTTTGTCAAAAAAAAAAAAAGAGTCCAAACAGCTTTAGGAGCCTGTAGAGAAGTCGGTGCCAAACGGGCCTAAGTTCAAAATTATAAGACGCACGTCGGCGACCTGCAAAATCATCGACCGGCCGGACACGGGACACGGGATCTGGAGCTTCAGCCTTTAACGTTCTTTTTTTTTTAGCACGAAGTAGGGTTTATCGATCGGAAGCGTGGCTGGCAATGGAGCTCCCCGGCCGACCGCCGCGGCATCATCGGTAGATTAGTAGGCGAGGCAGCAGCTAGCGGCGCCGGGCGTCCGCTCACAACCTGGGCGTGGGGCGGAGGCGGTCGCCCTCGGTGAGGATGCGGCTGCGGTTGATGTCGGCCAGCGTGGTGCAGCCGCTGAGCGCCATGGTGAGCTCGAACTCGTCCCGGAGCATCCGGAGCACGTTCCGGACGCCCGCCTCGCCCTCCGCCGCCAGCGCGAACACCACAGGCCTCCCGACCTGGATGGAGACGGAGCAAATAAACGCAGGGGTCCGTAAGCGCACGGCAGCATGTGGGGTCGAACTGGTGGTCCGGGTGCGGCGCACTTACGAAGATGCCGGCGGCCCCCAGGGCGAGCGCCTTGAACACGTCGGTGCCGCGGCGGACGCCGCCGTCCAGGTACACCGGGATGCGCCCCTGCGCGGCCTTCACGACCTCCTCGAGGGCGCTGATGGTGGCCGGCACGTAGTCCAGCTGCCGCGCGCCGTGGTTGGACACGATGATGCCCGCCGCGCCGGATTGGACGGCCAGCCTCGCTGCAGGTTCAGGTTCAGGTGCACCGACGTGGCGACGTCAGGTGATGATTGGATACGGTACGTGCGGAGAAGAAGAGAAGAAGCTTACCGTCCTCCGCCGTGACGACTCCCTTCACCAGGATCGGCATCGAGGTGATGCTCTGCAGCCACTTAACATCCTGCACATTCACAACACCAACACCGCTCTCAAGATCACGCAGGATGCGATGACGCGACGACGGCGGCGGCAACAAAACAAAGCATACCTTCCAGCTGAGGGTGCGGTCGATCTGTCCAGCAACGTAGGACGCCAGCCCGGAGTCATTGGCCTGCAAATCCCAAACACAACACCACCGCCTTCAGTTCAGTACGCAGGCGAGGCAACAAAGAGGACAGAAACAAACAACTACTCTGTAAAGTGTAAACAACTCTGAAGCTGAGACGAACCTGGTCCATCTTGCCAAGGTCCAGGCCCTCGAAGTTCTTCAACGTCAGGTATGGCGGCAGAACGAACCTGCATCGCATCGCAACGAGCCCATGTCAAGACAAGAGGTATGAGTGGAAACGCATTCTGGGGTCTGAGTCGTCTGACATGGCAAGGATGGACGGCCAAGAGCAAGAGCCGACCTGTTCTTGATGTCGGCTTCACGGCGGCCCAGGCGTGGGGTGTCCACGGTGAGCGCGATCGCCTTGAACCCAGCCCTCTCGGCCCTTCTCACCAGCTGCTCCACCACCTTCCTGTCCTTGTGCACCTATACAAATGCTCATGGCACACGCACAAAAAAACATCACAACGACTAAAAGAAACAGCAGCACGCTGCACACCCTGATGACAGGACTGGTGTGGCATGCTTACATATAGCTGGAAGAAGCGGATTCCCGGTCCGGTGGAGGCGACCTCCTCCACGCTTGAAGTTGCCCATGACGACAGTGTCTGAAAGAGAAGACATCACATCCACGCATAGGTGTTCAGGATCTTTCCAACATCTTTTTTTTTTCCAACATGGTATGCATTTACAGTATCTTCTTTATTTGGTTATTGTTCATGAGTTGTGCGGCGTTATTACGACAAGAAACACACCATGATAGTCCCCGCTGCTGACGCTGCCCGTGCAGTTGCATACTCCCCTGAACATAGACGAGGTATCAGCTTAGATGTATCCACAAACAAAGGCTTCTCAGATTTATGCCGTCTAATTATATATATGCAGAAGGTACTGCTTTAGTTTCTTTTTTCTGTATATAAGTACACTATAATGTTGTCAGTAAATACAATCTATACATACAAGTAGTAAAGATTGAGAGCTAGAGAAGCGTTTAACTGAATACCATCTGGGTGAGCCATCTTCTGAAAGGCAGTGGGGGCAACCATAATGGGCATTGAGATCTTGAAACCCAGAACACTTGTGGTCATGTCAATCTTGGACACATCGATCAGGATGCGAGGCCGGAACCTGATCACACAGAACCACAGCCAGATTCACAAGATAAGACAAAGGAAAGCTCGTAAAATGGGCGATAGCGCCATTACGGCAGCAGAAATTAGGTAGCAACATTCATTATTAATATTATACCGATTCCCTAATGTGACTGAAAAAAAAAAAAATGCAGGCATCGACGTAAAGGATGCATTCAGGCAGCTAAACTGACACAGCGAATTTTGCACAAAATGCGGTGCTGAACAAATGCATTCAGGAAATAGAAGCCCAGTAGCATGCGGTGAACACAACAGAGGGCTGGTGGGCTGGTTACAGGATCCTGGAGAAGGCCTCCCTGTTCTCCTTGAGCGTCCACTCGTCCTCGGCGCCGGAGGCGTAGTAGTCGTAGGCCATCTTGGGAAGCTTCTGCTTCGCGATGGCCTGGTACTCCATCACGTTCGTGATCTCCCCCATGGTGTCTTCGCCACCGGAGCCCCCTCAACGCTATACTCTGCAGTCTGCATCCACAAATTGATGTGGTATAAAGCATAGTGACGTTGATGAGCTTAGACCACATATGCAATGGTAATGACTAACACAAATGTCGTGATTAGACAAACCAAATGACTATATGCCCACCGGCATTCATAAGACAACAATGATGCCCCTTTTGAAATGCGAGATTTTTTTTTCTGTTTTCTACGTTTTTCCTATAGAAAAAAATTCATTTCTATAAATTTCTTGTATAATTCCTGTAAAATTCCAGTATTCCGAAGAGGCACTTAGTGTGGAAAGATACAATAGCCTTGCTACACCATGGCCAAACTACATCGTCAACTAGGTAACAAAGTAAGATGTGATTTGACAAACTGATGATAAACCTGTGACATCTTGTATGTAGTGACTAAGGGATACCAACAAAACCATTGTTGTTCTACGGAGGAGGACAAACAGGGGAATGATATCGGAGGATACCAACTGAGAACTGCCGGACAATACTAGCAGCATGTAGTATCTTGTATATGATGACAGCCTAGCCTATCTGGGTTTTTTTTTTGGTAAGGACCTATCTGGGTTAACATGGACTAACCATACAAGAAAAACACACCTGTCCACCCGAGTTGACTTAACACAGGTGCTTTTACAAAAGCATCGAAATACGTGGCAGAGTCGGAGATACACGATACGAGATCAACAATATGCATGTAGTGATGAATTTCGCTGAAACTGAAGAAATAAAATGATGATGATGGTGATGAGTTTGTTCGTACCTCTAGCTAGGGAAGGATGAAACGAGGAGGATCGGGAAGCAGTGGAGGAAGGAGGGAGGCTAAGAGCGACAGGGAGTGGCAGGTAATATAGGTGGGCGTGGTGGTGAGAGAGGTGTTTCCGCATGGAGACAAGGATGTGGGGGGCGGGGAAACGTACGTGGGGATGGAACGGAGGAACGCTGGCAAAGGAAACTGAGAAAGGGAGCGAGAGGTTACGGATGAGCTATTGGAGGTTGGGATGAAGGATGCCTCCTCCACAGCTTCCTCATCCACTTGACATCATCTGTCCCTTCCTCCATGCGCTGCCTAACCTCCATCCAGCAAATGGAGCAACACACCCAAAATAACTGGAAATATTTTTTTTTGTTTGGTTTGTTGAATTGGAGTGGTTTTATCTCTTCATCTTGTCACAAAAGAATACTAGAACCTTTCACCCTGCTTTCTGGGCATGGCTCGAAAAATGCCGTCGAGATTGGTCTTAGCAGGGAGGATAAGTAGAATTTTTTTTTCATGCAAACCGTATCCACCACAACCGGCATGCATACGTACTGATGGCAAACATCCAGGAGTATGTATGTATAGGAGCACCGTGGATACTGTATCCATAGAATTTTTTTTCGGATAAGGCCACAGCAGGGGTCGTTCTTGTGTGGCGATTCGTATGGGCAGTATCGTTGCTCAAATGGGCTCATCTTACGATGGGATGAAGGTGCAATTTGCCATTTTAAGTCAACAATGGACTGAAAGGTTACGGCCGATCCTTCTAGCACATATATGAAGAGAAAATGCGACTGAGCTTGGACGATGAACAAGACAAAACAGTTCATAACCATCACTATATATATTTTTCCTGTTTCACCAACCAATATATAATAAAGGGGTGAACCATATGCTCCACAAGAACAATACTGGTGCACGAGCCACAGCAAAATCTCCGGAGTCACTAGAATATACATTGGCGACCAATTATGTTATCCTCCATTCCTCCAGATATATATGTACAGAAAACACGACACTCTCCAGTTGTCAGTCCAAGCCTCAACTTCATGTTACAGTTAATCCCAGAAACTACCTCAACTGGTAGGTTCTTTGACCGCAGAACCTCATGATCAGTTTGATCGCCTGCTGCAAAAGAAATGTGAAGAGAAAGAACACCATGGTACTTTTATCCCATGAACAGGTACTAATACCTGGCACCACCATATGCCAATACTCGATAAATGAACTCCTTTTTAATTTTGAAACATGCCAAATAAAGGACATTCTATATTGTGTTCCGCTTTTTTCAGTACAAAAGTTACTGCCGCAGGCAATTTAGGAAAGCAGCACTTTACCAGCTCACATTTCTCATTGCAGACTAACTACTATACCACCATGACAGATCTATATGTGCACTATGGAAGAACATGACAAATACAAAGGGCGTAAGGGATTACTTGTTTTTGCCTTCTATCCAAATGCAAAATGCATCTGAACAGATACTGGCAGATTTCTCTTCCACAACCAAACTCATCCTCCTTTCACAAAAACTGCCTCACTGCGCCCAAACGGGCCCTTACTTCCCCTTGCCATTCTCAGTCCAGACGCTGTCCCATGAGGAGTTAGCTTTCGGTGCCTCAACAAACTGCTGGCCTCGTCCCTCTGATGATGGAGCTCCTGCGCCCTTAACACCACCCTTCTTTGGTTTTGTTTTGATCCCGAGCAAACGTAGAACAAATCTTGCAAGCTCACCATAAAGCATTCCAGCCCGATCACATAACTACAGAAATAATAATATCGCATCAGGGGAAATACAAGAGATATACTTGAAGTAAATTCAACAGGAATAGTAGAAGCGCTAGTCGGAAGATACCTGCAAAAGTGCAGTGATGAACATGTGAAATGCCTGTGTGTTCTGGCTAATAAGGAAGCTAACCCTCCCACAGAAATTTACAACACCATGCATCTGTAATTAAGAAGAGAAATGGTTAGGAGAATGATGAGTGCTACGTAAGATAGTTTTAAATCAACTCATGCAAAGCGTCGTGAACGATAGGCAGTCACTACAAGGAATCTGATTTTGTATTAGCAAAATGTATGTTCTATTAATAAAGGTAAAATACAAATGTGTTAGCTTCACCATGTGTGTAACAATAAAGGCAAGCCAGGGACTAGGGGGTAAAGCAACAATTTAAGTTCTGGAAAGCATTTGAACACGGACATGAACGCACTGTAAAAGACCTTATTTATGCACAGTTGTGTGGATGATCAATTGAAACTAATCATCTACATCAGCAGTAAGTTGATAATAAACATATATTACCACTCGTAGGAAGGACACCCAGGAACCAGGGGGTGGTGCAGGGGGCCCAAATGAATTCGGTCCCTGATTATAAGGATTCACGCCCATACCATAACCACCATAGGGTCCTCCCATTCCACCGCCATACATTGATCCACCATACATTCCAGAACCTCCATACATACTGCCATAACTTCCTCCATAACCTGAATACATGTTATTTCCATAGGGTCCACTATATCCGCCATAAGAGCTATACATACTGGAGCCATAACCTGCATTTTTATCAAAATGTGAACATTTTGAGGCACAAGAATATTTTTCTGAAAACATGCAAAAATGATTATTAATTACCCCCATAAGAATTTTCATAGCCTTGCTGCTGCCAAGGCCTTGGGGGCACAGGCACTGAAATGTTGCTGTTTACATTGGAGGCAACATTGTTCCCAGCAGCAGAAACAACTTCTCCATGTTTGGCTGTCCCAGAAGCTTCAACAACATCACTGGTGCTACCACCAGAGGGCGGCTTAAAAGGCACTGGGCCAGATGAAGCTCCTGCTCGTTCCCACGGTTTTGGAGGTGGATTACCAGCTGCCAATCACATCCATGGGCAAATTTTCCTTAAGCCTCCAACCAGAAATAAAGATGGAACTACTCACACATTGAAAAGAAACATGAAGTGGTATCCATAAGACTATATGGTACAACAATACAGACTGGGGATCGAATAAAGTTCCTGCTTAAGAACAAAACAAAACTACAATGCGGAATGTGCAACAACAACCAAAAAAAAAACAAGCACTAGTTCAAGGCCTGATGGCCTGATCATTACTTGCATTTGCAACATGTGTAAAACCAAAGCACGCAAACACGGTGAGACTTCAATCTTTTGGTTCTTCAATATGTAGGTCAGATGCTACATCCATCACTAATACATATATAGAAGGACAGGTAATGTTAAACTATGGATCTCAAGGAACTGGAAATATGGACTGAATGAACAAGAGCAGGAATCGAAGCATCACAAATTCGTGCTTCCAAAACTAACTTTATAGTTCCATGAAACCCAAAATACCAGAATGCTTATATTAGTGTTTGCCAAGCAAATATTGATGACTTTTGATAATATATAACACACCCATTAGACTTACCACCCTAGGTTTTAAATTACGTCTACATTTGTACTCAACATCTATCAACAAATGATTCAAATAGATTGTACCTACATCTAGCGAAGAAATAACGAAGGACAAATGGTGGCATAAATGCAAGCACAAGGGTGGCATAAGTGCAAGCACAAGGCTAAAAGCTCATAATCATATCCCGTTTCTCTGTGAAATACAGGATCACAACAAGCGCAGCAGCGTTTGAAACCACAGAAGCTCACGCCTTAGCCAAAAGCCATCCTGGAAGGCAGCAAGTTGGTCTTTGCGCGTGCCCTTATCTTAATCGCGTCAATTTTCCTTCGCCGGACGGCCGGAGTAGCATATCTAGCAACAGCACTGGTGAGACGTTCGGCGCGAAACTAAGAGACCTTCTTCCCCTTTCCCTTCCCCTTCCCGCAAAACATTCACGGGAGCACGAGGATCCCCAAGCACCGCCGCCAGCGGCACCGCCCCCGGAGCTCCCAATCCCAAACCGACCACCAATCGGGCCCAAATCGGGCACGAATTGGACCGACTCCCCACCCTCACCCTCATCCGGCGACCTGACGACCAACCAGCCCGCCGGCCAGATCGCATCAGCGACGCACGCAACCGATCAATCAGACACACGGGTGAGCACGACAGGAAAGGGGAAGGTCCGACATGGAGGGCGTCGACGAACCTGCTGCCATGGCGTGAGCTGCGCCGCGCCGGCGGTGGTTCGGCTCGATCAGGTGGGCGTGGGCGGCCGCGGTTTCTCTCCCCACCTCGATTGCTCCGTCCCAACGGAGAAGAGAAGAGAAGAGAAGCGTCCAGGCCCAGCCCAGCCGACAGCCGAGCCGCCCACGGCACGCGGCGGACCGGACGGCTGACTAATCCGGGCTCCGTCCGCGTCCAAGGGAGTTTCGGTTCGGGGAGGCTGGCCTGACCCACCCGACTACCCGAGTGGCGGAGTCGAGTCGCACGCGGCGGCACACGACTCCTTCCGGTTCGGTCAAGACTCGAGAGTCTGTTAACAGGACTGGGTCGTTTCTCGCTGGGAGCCTCGGAGGCTGGCGTTTGGGATTTTAGATGGGTCGGAGATTCGGCCCGAGGTTGGGCTCGTTTGGGCCCATAAGGTCGTTCACAGAACTCGAGATCAGAGCCCAAAAGATGGAAAGTTCTCGACATAAGATCGTCCATAATTCTGCCAAACATTATTCTGGCCACTGATATGCGAATGGCCCAAAGATTTTATTAAAATAAAATATCTATCTTTAGCAGCAGTCCAAGGGACCCTCCATGTCGTAATCGCTTCTCATTGGTGAGTACCAGGAAGAAGAATAAAAAAAAATGCTTGCAGCTGATGCAATCGTTTATGTTGATGCAGATAAACATGATAGCTTAGCTAGAAAAAAGATGTGAAGTTCTATTTCCTTCTCATTGGCGTTGGAAAAGACACGGATTAAAGTAACACCAAAAGCAATAAATACTGTTTTAATGTGTATAAAAAAAAGCAGAAATGCGATCTCATCCCTGGATTGCGAATCCGATTTGACAGGGAGACCGATAATCCATTAACAGCGACATGTTGTAGGAAAACTCGGTCTATCCGGAAAACCCTACTGGAAACTGGAAACTTAGGGACAATTCTTGATTCAACTTTTAAGTTGATGATGAGTTGGCTGCCGTGTGCCTTGCCTCGGCGTTCACTCTAAGTTGAGAACTATCGTTCAGTGGTTGATATATAATATATCTTACGTGTTGTTTGGTTTGTAGAAATGTAACACAAATGGAAATGAAATCAGATCACATTATTCTATATGTTGCCGTAACATTGACAGCTTTAATTCCATTATGTTTACGTTAACCAATCCTACTTTAGTTTGATCAAATTTATAAAGAAAAGTTATTAATATTTATAACATCAAATAAATGACGTTTTAACAATGAAACTAATAGCATCTACTCCCTCCGTACATGAATACAGGGCATAACTACTTTTGTTTTTAGTCCGGGAATACAGGGCGGCGGCTCAGCCTGGGCAATCGGTTGGAACCGACAATTCGGTTCGGTTTCATCGGTTCAAGAAAACTTCGGTTTGGACAAAGGTTGAAACCGATAGGTTTGAGTAAGAAACAGAAACCGACGATTTCGGTTGCGGTTCCATCGGTTCGGTGTTCGATTTCAACCGAAGTTTCTTCTTCTCGCCGGTCGCCATGACGCACGGAGGCCATGTTGCCCAAAGCTCGCACAACCACGCTACCCCCACCCGCCGCGCAGCCGAGCTACCCGGAGCTCGCGCGCCCAGAGCCGATCGTCTGCAGCTCACCTTTCATTTGTGGCGCCGCTGCTACCCTTTCGGCTCATACGCCACCACCCCTTGCAGAGGCCACGGCGCCACGCACACGCTCGACGACCGGATGCCTGGGTCTACACCGTCCCCGCTCCTTGCTCACAGTCGCAAGCCTCGCCGTTGCCTGCTACCCGTCGCCGCCACCCAACCATGCCGCCGTAGGTAGGTTAGGGTTCGTAGTGTGTGGGTGCCTGGGTGTGGGTGGTGGAGGAGGTGGACTGGTGGGCCTTCATGGGCTTTGCTTGGGGATGGGGGGGGTGTTGCCGAGCCGAGAGGGAGAGAAACAGTCACAGAGACACAGACTCAGACGTTCCTTGGGTGGATTGATGAGCTCGGTTTACGGTTCGGTTTGAGCTAAAAACCAAAACCGAAGCCGATGACCGAAGTTCTGGAATCCAGAAACCGAGGCTAAAACCGAAAACAAAAAAAACCAATATTTCGGTTCGGTTCGGCTCGGTTTTGGTTTTCGGGTGAAAAGTGCCCAGCCTGATCGGCGGCTGTTCACGCGCGCATACGACATTTAGTGCCGCGTCGTCCTTCTCCTGGGCTCCGACGCTGCATGCAGCTGGCCGTTACTCACAGCGCACGCATATTCATGGACGTAGGGAGTATTTGATAATATATATATATATATATCAATTTTTACCCAGATTTGATTAAATTTACGTGCATTCATAATAGAAGAGTATCTTTTGTTTTTGAACTAAGCATAGATCAGCTAGTTACGTTTCCTACAGTGAACCAACCCATCCGGGTTGAAGCCAAAGACTTGAGGTGGGAGCTTTTTTTTTTGTTCTAATGTTTAACGATACTATTTTCAGTGGTGGACGACAATGTTCATAATATCTAGAGTGGCTTTGTCAATATCGAGATCTATTGGCTTATCAAAAACAAGATGTTTGTGTGTTCAAGTCGAGTCCTCGACTTGATATGTGTATTCGTACTTTATAGTTTTATTCAAGGATTTAGCGACATAATTATTTTTAGTGGTAGATGATACACCGTAGACAATGAGATCTATGATAACTTTATTAGTCTCGAGATTTGTTCACTAATTCTATAGCGAGACGTATATAGTACGTTCATCTACCTTAAAATCTACCGGCTATTTCTTTCGGTCATGTTTATAGTAACATGATATATATACGTGCGTTCATACGGGACATGTACACATATATGCGTGTCTTTTTTTTTTGTAAAGAATGGCTATTAGTCTTCTTCTTTCAACGAGGATTATTGTTGGGTCTGAGATTCAAGTTCATATTCAGTGTGTGGTTTTCAAATATGACACGCCCAGCGCAGCCCTGTGCCCCTGTGTAAGGTAGTCTTTTGTTTTTTCTTTAATATTTTTCTTCTTTGGGTGCAGAACCGCAGATTTGCAGATTTCACACAAAGTGCACTACGTCACTCCATATTTGCGTCCCCGTGGGGAATCGCCTGCCCAGATCCTCTGTGGGCTCTGGGCTGTGGCCGGCCACCGCTGCCGCTGTGTCCCTGCAAGACAAGAACGCGGCGGAGGCCGAGAGATGCTGCACGTAGACGTACACGCCTACCTGCACTTGCAGAGAGAAAATCAGCACAAAGCTGAGGCATTGGCCGGCTAGGGACCCTGTTCGCTTAGAATTTATTACCCTGGCTTCCCAGCTCCGGATCATCGGAGCAAACCGAGCAAGGCATTCGTTCACTCCTGCCCCGGTGGCGGACGCTCCATCGGCGCACCGCATATCCCCATGAGGCCATGACGCACGCCGTGACAGCAAGCGGAGCCGGACACGTATCGCCGTGTCCGTGCTGTGATGACTTGAATCAAACACACACCAAAAACGGCCACTTCCAGCGTGGCTAACCGTAGACGAAAGTACTAGAAAGCAAGCAGCCGTTTCGTAGTACTACTACGAGTAAACTCGAATGGACAGGCAAGTTCGCATTTGGCAACGGCGCAACGCACCGGACCAACGCACTACGACGAAATCGGATGGGCATGATGGGCGGTCCGCACTGCCGGTCCGGATCCAGCAGGTTCGCAGGCGGCAGGGCATGGAACGCCCTTATTTAGTTTCATGCTAACTTCCAAAAAGTTGCTATAGTACTTGTCACATCGAATATTTACGGTCCGTGCATGGATCATTAAATATAGACGAAAAGAAAAATTAATTACACAGTTTGGTGGAAAATTACGAGACAAACGTTTTAAGCCTAATTAGTCCATATTTGAATACTATTTGCCAAATAAAAACGAACGTGCTACAATAGCCCAAAATCCAAATTTCTCCAACTAGGACGAAGTACTCCCAAATCCAATTTCCCTGTCGTCGTCCCATTCGGCCATCTATTCCGGATGAGGGATGGCAGGCCCGATCTTCTGTGGCCACCACACCCTGCAACCAGTGCGAGGCATCGGCCGTCGCGTGCATGTCCGCGTGCACGAGACCAGAGGCAACCCCCGTGACGTCACCCGTGACATATCCGGGATGGCAGGCCCGATCTTCTGTGGTCACCACGCCCTGCAACCCGTACCAGGCATCGGCCGTCGCGTGCATCAGCCTATTCGGTTGGCTGGTTCGTTTCGTTACTGGTTCGTGAAGAAGTACTGCTGGTTGGTTTGTGTGAGAGAAAAATACTATTTTAGCTGGAAATTTACGATCGTTTACGACAAAATATAGCCAAACGAACAGGTTGCATGGCCGCGTGCACGAGACCAGAGGCAACCCCCGTGACGTCACCCGTGACACCGCTGGCTTGAAATGCATCTCCGCGCGATCTTTCCCGCCGAGACACACTAGGACGAATCGCGCCACCAAATTACTGTAGCGATACTGTAGTGTAGTGTTTTGTTTGTATTCGATAATAATTGTTTAATCATTGACTAATTAGACTCAAAACGTTCGTCTCATAAAGTACAACAAAACTGTACAATTAGTTTTTAATTTCGTCAACATTTAGTACTCTATATATACACCGTAAATTTAATGTGACAGGGTATCTTCTTTTTGTATAGTGACAAAGTTTGGATTTGAGGTGAACCCACACCCCCCAGCCGCATGCAGTAGTACTCTGAGATTTCCTCGGGCGCGTGTGACTACTCCCATCGTCTCGTCACGGTTCACCCACCCACACACGAGGTCAGAGCTTCCGGAACCTCCTCGACCACACTGGATCGAGCGAGCTCTGCCCCAGCCTCCAGCTCCACCCCTCGCTCTCAGCTCGGCACCTATAAATAAAGCAAGAGCCCTCATCGATCCTCACCTCCACAGCTACCATCGATCCGCCATTGGTCACTGCACGAGCACGAGTGCACGCTCACAAACCCACACACGCAGCTAGCACGCGAGTCGATCGAGAGCGAGAAGAAGACGA